GACAGCGTGTTAAATATTCTTTTGAATTTGTAGGAATGAGAGCAATGCAAACATTGATATTTAAATAGTCTCATTTGTCAAATTCAAAAGAATAATTAACTTGCTATCGAGTCCTAAGTGCAACTGAAAAGGTGTTTTGATGGTTGTCAAAACAATAGGTGTTGACATCATGAACACAGTTGGAAGCAATGTCTACCAGACAGAGTATGACRAGTCTGAGGAAGRMCATGACTAGCATTGRGCAAATGCACATCTAGAAATCAGTCTATCAAGCACTGTACTTATACCTCTAAATGCTTTGCTTCTTTGCATAAATAAATCATCTCTTCTGTTCCCTTGACATTGATTTGGATGGCAGTTCTATTATGACAATAAAAAGAAGAAATCTTAGTACTTGAATTAAAATGCAATTTGATAGGAATATTTCTAAATATATTGGAACAAACGTTTCTAAGGCTAAGAAGGTTTATTGCCCTATTTCACATAAAATCACACAGTATTTGACACATTTGCTAATATTATTTAATATTACCTTAATTCCTCGTCAAATCGCACAGTTGCAGCAGAGTGGAAGACAATTTGTACATTATCAATAATAAGTCTCCTGTCTTCAGGAGACATCCCAAGACCAGGTTCAGCTATGTCTCCTTTGACAGCTGTGACCTTGCCTATCAGCTCAGGAACTTCTCGCACTTGCTGAAACAACTACAAGACACAACAAAGACTGTTTTAGTTCAAAATATTGTGTATGGAACCTGAGAAGAGCTTTAAAGYACCCATAATTTCACAGGCAGCAYAACCATTAAACWTAAAAAAATATTTATTAAAATACAGGTTGGAAACCAGTTGGCTAGAAGGTGGATAAAGTTGGCCACTGGATAAAGTTAACTTTGTTTGAGTCTTATTGACGTGAAAAGGATTATATTAAGAACAGCATTATTTACCCATTGTACTGTAAAACTGCAAGATKGAACTGCCTTCCTGTAGATTGCAAAGAAACAGAAAGAAAACTATAATTACTTACCTTGGACTGCAATATTCTGTCCATCCTCTGTTGAGGAGTCTGATCAGCTCTAGCTCGGGCCAATACATAGATCTTCCTAACCCCTCTACAAGCCCGAAGGAGCTTTTCAAGGAGAACTTTACCAAGAAAACCTGTGGCACCAGTTATAAACACACATTTGTCAAYGTAGAACTCTTCAATGGAACTCATACTGGAAGTGGATTGCTTTGTAAACTTGACTGTATCCCAAGAAAGTATTTCTACCAGTTCTCCATGCAATATCTGTCAAGACCAAACATATACGTACAATTAAATATAATAACTTAGCGGCAGCTCTGTAATATTGCACAATTTCCTTGCACATGCAATGAAGCATAAACCTGTGAAAATCAGTCCTGCTGTTAGATTATTTAAATCGCATGGTGTTAACAGAGGTTGTCCAGAAATTCTACAAACAATGAAAACTTGAGAAGCCTTGCTGAAAGAATTGTGCAGTATTTGGTATTGTTTTTCAGGGCTCAAAATAACGGCCGGTCAAAGGACAATGTCCTTCCAAATTCGCTAGATGACCAGCCAAATCGGGGTTTGAAAGGACAAATTGACCTGCCACATTTTTATACAAATAAAAAAACAATCAAATCCCAATTCGCTAAATAAACCTTTTACAATCATTAGAATTAATTGCCAATCTTTCTGAATACAAAAACCTATGAATCAAAAGAAATTAATAGTTATTAAAGTTTTTGTCCTTTCAAAACTCGACATGACCTTCCAAAAATGAATTTGGAAGGACATCTTGTCCTGCATATGTCTTATCGTTATTTCGAGACCTGTTTTTAGAGATCATTGTATTGTTTTTTGGTCACAAAAACAAAACAAAATATACCATTAAGATCCATTAATGCTTTCCTACCTTTTTGTGAAATTGAATTTCTTGTTTTAATTAAATAATTTTTGTCAATAAAATTTCAAAAAATGTATACATATTTTAAGTATTTTACCGAAAAAGTGTTAATTAATATGTACAAAATGTACAAATRTATTAAACTATCAAAKTAACTTTTGGTTTGGCTGAATTTTTGCAAGATCAATGGATTTCACAATTTTGACATTGAATATGTTGCAAGAAATTCTTCGTATGTTTTCGAAAAACAAAACTTCTTATCTATAGGGCATAAAAAGTTAATTAAAAGTGCACAATTTTGGATACAACTCTGGGCAAATACAAGCTTAAATTGCCCAGCATAAATTTATTATACAGTATGGCCTGATATCATGTGTTTATGATAATCACAATGCTCAATAGACCCAAACAATGTTTAACCGGCCTTTTATACCTAAAATTGTATAAGTCTTAAATCAATAAATAATATATTAAATTTTCTGTTGGATTGGTTCATTTTCTGATAGTTTAAAAGATAAACAATTTCTTTTTATATTATTAAGTTATTATTATTTATGTGTACGAGGCCTATTTGAAAGTGCACTGAAAGGTGCARGATTTTTATTAGACGTGTCCTTTGAATGGAATTATTGAAAAACAAGCTCATACCTGATCGTTATMAAACACAATTTCAGAAAATAAAAACGTTCAGTTATAAAAGTTTCTTACCGTGAAAATCGCCCTCGGTGGACTTTGTTTGGATCAACTTTCAGGACAAAACTCCCAGGATGCGATCATCAACCACTTCACTTGACTTAGGCGGGATTGCGAAAGGACGAACAAATTTAGCTATCTTTSAAAATCTAGCTCAAAAACTACGCTTTAATTGTTGCAAATGACATTTAAGCTAAAAAGCCAACTTTAGGGAGTGACACAAATCGTCTTTTTGAGCTTTTTCAGTATAGTATTTAGGGAAAATTTGTCGGAGTTTGAGTCTGTAGGTGCACAGGATTTGGACTGCTGGCTCCGAATCATTCTTCCCTGTACAGCGGTAGTGCTCAGGGGGGTAGGGTAGGGATATTGTTTGCGCAATCTGAGACTAGAGCTAACACGTAACTTTCAGTAAGTCAGATCAAAACATGTGCAATTGATGGTTTTCAAATAGGAGAGAAAGTTAAACAAAAGATGTCCGCCATTGCTGGTGGACCTGACAAAAGAAAACCACCACCGTGACTGGTGGGCCTTTTTGTTTTGCTCACTCTCATGGGAATGGTTGAAAACCATCAATAGCGAGTAAATGGAATGGATCGATTAAATGGATGGAAAGAAGTAAGGACTGAAGTTAAATGCAACTGAATAACTATATAGAATAACTGAATGATAAAATGAATGCATGGAAAAGACCAAAAAGTCTATTGATGAGTAGAATAATAAATTAATAATAAAGTGTCTGAATTATATAATTTTAAAAGAATGAAAGAAATGAGCTGAATGTGATATAAAGATGAATTCAAATGATCACCAGAWCGAGGTCAACTCGGCCAGTAGCCTAGTAACGAGMAAGGTCATGTAGAGCTCCCATAACTTTTCTCGCGAGTGATCAAAGGTGTCTAAATTTTACTTGAAAAACCGTTCTTTAATTACCCCMAACAAGATGTGATTCTGGTCGAAGATACTTCAATGTTTGAAGTACCTCTGCTTTTAATCTTGGCTCGATATAATCATGGAATGGCTTATGGGGTAAGTACAACGTCGTCCTGTTTACCAAAGCTGTCTGGTTTATRTGTCTTCAAACCTGCCATTTTGGGTGCGGTAAAGTTCGGATTTTAACCTGCTATAGCGCCCAATCGCAGYACTTATTTACGTGGAAAGGTCGTTCATATCATGGTGTTGTATTGTAGTAAATCGATCCTCACAATTTGTGAGGAGAGATGAGTTTTGACATTTTCACCCGACAATGTCTTTGACGTGGAGAAGATTTCCTCATCAAATTTGAAGAAGGATTATTGTAAATTTACAAAGAAATGTCAGTAAATGCAGAACAGCTAATTTGAAATAACTACGGTGGTTTTCTCTCTGTATAGTAATGAAATGTCGTGATTTCGGAGTCTTTGTGCTATGCGAAAAAGAAATATATTAAAACTTAATGAAAATTTGATACGTTTTACATCGCAAGCTCGCGTTATCTCACTTTCATTTCAGCACAGTTTTCGTATAAAGACTTTGAATAAAACCTCCCTTTTTTAGCTAAAAAGTTTATCATTGTATCTTTTTATTTATGTGCGATTTGCTCCAATAACTCTATAGTATACGCGCTCGGCCTTAGTTAACAAAGTATCTCAAAAATTCAGACTATTTTCTTTTTACGATTTACAAAGATAAACATCTTGTTTGTAAACATAATAGCTCTCAACTTTGACTCAAGGAACGATGAATTGATTTTAAAACGATCCATGGTTTCAATGCCTAAAAAAATATTTTTATCAATATAGCTTTGTCTTAAAATTTGTAAAAAAATTCTGAAATTCCACAAAATCAATTAAACAATTTGTCACGATTTTTTTTTTCTCTCCAGTAGCTTAGTCTTGATGATTCTAAACCAGCCATGGTATATATATTATTAATAAAGTATAAATAAAATGCTAGATATATTAATTTCTATCTAGAATTAATTCAAATATATGCAATTTTAAATAACACCAAAAGGTACATTATCATATTGTTTTTAGTGACTGATAAATTAAAATTGCCATTTATTTTATCTCTGAGTTAGTCATTGCATGTTTGAACAAGCTAAAAATACACTTAGC